TTTAAAACGAAACATCTTCTATTATATTAAGTTAACAAATTTCGAAAAACGACACCGTCCTGGAAAAATCTATTTTCAATTATTTTCAAATAAATCAAAATACTTTGGATATATGCTGTTAGAAAATCTTACAAACTATTTTTATGTAACATCTTTTTTTAATTTAACCCGAAAAAGGGTTATTTTTCAATTTTAACCCGAAAAAGGGTTATTTTGCTATTTTTTAAGAATTTTTTGATTTTTTCAATTTTTTATTATTATTTTTTATTATTTATTGTTGTTTTTTCAATTTTTAGTTAGTAACCTATAATATTGTGTCTAATTTTAAGTGTCATTAAAATCAAATGTTTTTAAATTAATAACTTTAACATTTCTTAATTTAAAACGAAACATCTTCTATTATATTAAGTTAACAAATTTCGAAAAACGACACCGTCCTTGAAAAATCTATTTTCAATTATTTTCAAATAAATCAAAATACTTTGGATATATGCTGTTAGAAAATCTTACAAACTATTTTTATGTAACATCTTTTTTTAATTTAACCCGAAAAAGGGTTATTTTTCAATTTTAACCAGAAAAAGGGTTATTTTGCTATTTTTTAAGAATTTTTTGATTTTTTAAATTTTTTATTATTATTTTTTATTATTTATTGTTATTTTTTCAATTTTTAGTTAGTAACCTATAATATTGTTTGTAATTTTAAGTGTCATTAAAATCAAATGTTTTTAACTTAATAATTTTAACATTTCTTAATTTAAAACGAAACATCTTCTATTATATTAAGTTAACAAATTTCGAAAAACGACACCGACCCCGTGACCTCGACAGCGTCCTTGAAAAATATATTTTCAATTATTTTCAAATAAATCAAAATACTTTGCATATATGCTGTTAGAAAATCTTACAAACTATTTTTATGTAACATCTTTTTTCAATTTTAACCCGAAAAAGGGTTATTTTTCAATTTTAACCCAAAAAAGGGTTATTTTGCAATTTTTTAAGAATTTTTTGATTTTGTCAATTTTTTATTATTATTTTTTATTATTTATTGTTGTTTTTTCAATTTTTAGTTAGTAACCTATAATATTGTGTCTAATTTTAAGTGTCATTAAAATCAAATGTTTTTAACTTAATAATTTTAACATTTCTTAATTTAAAACGAAACATCTTCTATTATATTAAGTTAACAAATTTCGAAAAACGACACCGACCCCGTGACCTCGACACCGTCCTTGAAAAATCTATTTTCAATTATTTTCAAATAAATCAAAATACTTTGCATATATGCTGTTAGAAAATCTTACAAACTATTTTTATGTAACATCTTTTTTCATTTTTAACCCGAAAAAGGGTTATTTTTCAATTTTAACCCGAAAAAGGGTTATTTTGCAATTTTAACCCGAAAAAGGATTATTTTGCAATTTTTTAAGAATTTTTTGATTTTGTCAATTTTTTATTATTATTTTTTATTATTTATTGTTGTTTTTTCAATTTTTAGTTAGTAACCTATAATATTGTGTCTAATTTTAAGTGTCATTAAAATCAAATGTTTTTAACTTAATAATTTTAACATTTCTTAATTTAAAACGAAACATCTTCTATTATATTAAGTTAACAAATTTCGAAAAACGACACCGACCCCGTGACCTCGACACCGTCCTTGAGAAATCTATTTTCAATTATTTTCAAATAAATCAAAATACTTTGGATATATGCTGTTAGAAAATCTTACAAACTATTTTTATATAACATCTTTTTATAATTTTAACCCAAAAAACGGTTATTTTGCAATTTGTTAAGAATTTTTTGATTTTTTCAATTTTTTATTATTATTTTTTATTATTTATTGTTGTTTTTTCAATTTTTAGTTAGTAACCTATAATATTGTGTCTAATTTTAAGTGTCATTAAAATCAAATGTTTTTAACTTAATAATTTTAACATTTCTTAATTTAAAACGAAACATCTTCTATTATATTAAGTTAACAAATTTCGAAAAACGACACCGACCCCGTGACCTCGACACCGTCTTTGAAAAATCTATTTTCAATTATTTTCAAATAAATCAAAATACTTTGCATATATGCTGTTAGAAAATCTTACAAACTATTTTTATGTAACATCTTTTTTCATTTATAACCCGAAAAAGGGTTATTTTTCAATTTTAACCCGAAAAAGGGTTATTTTGCAATTTTAACCCGAAAAAGGATTATTTTGCAATTTTTTAAGAAATTTTTGATTTTGTCAATTTTTTATTATTATTTTTTATTATTTATTGTTGTTTTTTCAATTTTTAGTTAGTAACCTATAATATTGTGTCTAATTTTAAGTGTCATTAAAATCAAATGTTTTTAACTTAATAATTTTAACATTTCTTAATTTAAAACGAAACATCTTCTATTATATTAAGTTAACAAATTTCGAAAAACGACACCGACCCCGTGACCTCGACACCGTCCTTGAGAAATCTATTTTCAATTATTTTCAAATAAATCAAAATACTTTGGATATATGCTGTTAGAAAATCTTACAAACTATTTTTATATAACATCTTTTTTCAATTTTAACCCAAAAAACGGTTATTTTGCAATTTGTTAAGAATTTTTTGATTTTTTCAATTTTTTATTATTATTTTTTATTATTTATTGTTGTTTTTTCAATTTTTAGTTAGTAACCTATAATATTGTGTCTAATTTTAAGTGTCATTAAAATGAAATGTTTTTAACTTAATAATTTTAACATTTCTTAATTTAAAACGAAACATCTTCTATTATATTAAGTTAACAAATTTCGAAAAACGACACCGACCCCGTGACCTCGACACCGTCTTTGAAAAATCTATTTTCAATTATTTTCAAATAAATCAAAATACTTTGCATATATGCTGTTAGAAAATATTACAAACTATTTTTATGTAACATCTTTTTCCATTTATAACCCGAAAAAGGGTTATTTTTCAATTTTAACCCGAAAAAGGGTTATTTTGCAATTTTAACCAGAAAAAGGATTATTTTGCAATTTTTTAAGAATTTTTTGATTTTGTCAATTTTTTATTATTATTTTTTATTATTTATTGTTGTTTTTTCAATTTTTAGTTAGTAACCTATAATATTGTGTCTAATTTTAAGTGTCATTAAAATCAAATGTTTTTAACTTAATAATTTTAACATTTCTTAATTTAAAACGAAACATCTTCTATTATATTAAGTTAACAAATTTCGAAAAACGACACCGACCCCGTGACCTCGACACCGTCGTTGAAAAATCTATTTTCAATTATTTTCAAATAAATCAAAATACTTTGCATATATGCTGTTAGAAAATCTTACAAACTTTTTTTATGTAACATCTTTTTTCAATTTTAACCCGAAATAGGGTTATTTTGCAATTTTTTAAGAATTTTTTGATTTTTTCAATTTTTCATTATTATTTTTTATTATTTATTGTTGTTTTTTCAATTTTTAGTTAGTAACCTATAATATTGTGTCTAATTTTAAGTGTCATTAAAATGAAATGTTTTTAACTTAATAATTTTAACATTTCTTAATTTAAAACGAAACATCTTCTATTATATTAAGTTAACAAATTTCGAAAAACGACACCGACCCCATGACCTCGACACCGTCCTTGAAATATCTATTTTCAATTATTTTCAAATAAATCAAAATACTTTGCATATATGCTGTTAGAAAATCTTACAAACTGTTTTTATGTAACATCTTTTTTCATTTTTAACCCGAAAAAGGGTTATTTTTCAATTTTAACCAGAAAAAGGGTTATTTTGCAATTTTAACCCGAAAAAGGATTATTTTGCAATTTTTTAAGAATTTTTTGATTTTGTCATTTTTTTATTATTATTTTTTATTATTTATTGTCGTTTTTTCAATTTTTAGTTAGTAACCTATAATATTGTGTCTAATTTTAAGTGTCATTAAAATCAAATGTTTTTAACTTAATAATTTTAACATTTCTTAATTTAAAACGAAACATCTTCTATTATATTAAGTTAACAAATTTCGAAAAACGACACCGACCCAGTGACCTCGACACCGTCCTTGAAAAATCTATTTTCAATTATTTTCAAATAAATCAAAATACTTTGCATATATTCTGTTAGAAAATCTTACAAACTATTTTTATGTAACATCTTTTTTCATTTTTAACCCGAAAAAGGGTTATTTTTCAATTTTAACCCGAAAAAGGGTTATTTTGCAATTTTAACCCGAAAAAGGATTATTTTGCAATTTTTTAAGAATTTTTTGATTTTGTCAATTTTTTATTATTATTTTTTATTATTTATTGTTGTTTTTTCAATTTTTAGTTAGTAACCTATAATATTGTGTCTAATTTTAAGTGTCATTAAAATCAAATGTTTTTAACTTAATAATTTTAACATTTCTTAATTTAAAACGAAACATCTTCTAAGTAGTGTAACAAGGCGGGTTCTGGCTCACTTACCGACCGAGGTCGGTAATGTAGAAATCTACTTTACCGACCGAGATAGTTCAGACTGCCACCGTTAGATGGCGCCACCGGCCAATTCAACCCCCCTTGGCGGGAAATTTGAATTTTTAAAAGTTTAATTTAAAGTGGCTTGGTGTTCTACTTTACCGACCGAGTTAGTTCCGGCTGCCACCGCTAGATGGCGCCACAGGCCAATTCAACCCCCCTTGGCGGGAAATTTGAATTTTTAAACTTTTGTGTTCAAGTGGCTTGGTGTTCTACATTACCGACCGAGTTAGTTCCAGCTGCCACCGCAAGATGGCGCTATTTTATTTTTACGCTAAATTAAAAATTATTTTTTTCTATTAATTTAAAGTGGGGGTTTTTAAATTTCCCGCTTAAATTACCGACCGAGTTAGTTTCAGCTGCCACCGCAAGATGGCGCTATTTTATTTTACCTATTTTAAAGTTAATTTAAAGTTTAAAATTTCAATGTATATATCTAAACCTGTATGGAAAAAACATCGAGAGGGATCCCCATTGCTGGTTGCGTCTATGCCGCTGCCAGCGCTGGGTTCATATGCTGAGTATCGTCTCTCCCCGCATCGATGTGAACTCAGCCGGGGACTCCCTCCCATGCCTACAGCAGAGCGCGCAGCGGCAGTCCCACCTGGTTGCGCGCGTCGCTTGAGTAGTGGGGCGCGTCGTAGTGGGGAGCGCGGTAGTGGGGTGCCTCATAGTGGGAAGTAGGGTATATAGCACAGCGCTCGGGCCACCAGCATCACTGCTTTCTGTTTACAGGTCTAGCGCAGTACTTCCACAGCATTCCAGCTTTTCATTTCAGCTTTTTTTCTATTCTAGGTTCTCTTTTTTTATTTCAGATTTTGTTTTTCGTTTATTATTTTTATTTCAGGTTGTGGGTATTTTGGTTTTAGTTTTAGGTTTTTTTTTATTTCAGGTGGTGTGTATTTTGGTTTTAGTTTTAGGTTTTTTTTTCTTTTCAGGAGGTGGTGGGTTTTTTTCTATTTTAGATATTTTTTTTTAGATTTATCTTTTAAGATGCCTAAATGTAAGGCGGTAAAAAAGTCTCGGCAACGAATCGAGATTGATGAATTTATTGAAATTTGTCAGGAATCTGACAACTTTATTAAATCCGCGGAGCAGCAGCTCATTATTACAATGTCCATGGCGGTTGATGAGAAGCTCATTACCGCATTCGAATGGCAAAATAAGTGTCAAAGGTATAAAAATATTTTTAGAAATTTTTTGCGAAGATCATCTTTAACTACTTCTCAAAGATCTAGATGTTTGAATTTAGATCAAAAATTAGAATACTTGCGTTGCCATTTTGATGCTCTAATGAAACGTGGTGCGGGTGTGCAAGTGACTAATGCTAGAATGAAATGGGTGGATTTTGATGAAGCATTCGATAATCGTTTGCAAACCAGTGCTATTATAAATTTAGATTACAAGGATATTAACGAGTTCCTTGATGATGCCTACGCTTTATTTAAATTAAATATTGAAAAAGCATTAAACAAGTATGGTCCTTTAAAAGTTTATACTGTGTTGGGTGCGAAATTTAAAAAAGATTTAATTAATGGTAAAGAAGAACAATCTGACTTAAAAACTTTTATCGCGAAAACGGATGAAATTTTATTAACAACCCCGTTAGATGACTGGTACAATGTTAATGTTAAACAAATAACTTTGAAAAGAATCGAAGAATTCCAGGAGAAGGACTCTAACTGGAAACTTGATTCAATTCATAGGTTAGAGGTTAACATTAACAAATTTAACCCTATGCGCGCAAGTTCCTACATTAATTTACCATCTTCTATTAATAAAAAACATGCTTGTGTTAATATTAAAAATAGTGATAACCAATGCTTTAAATGGGCAATTTTATCTGCTTTACATCAAGTTGAAAAGAACGCGGAACGAGTTTCAAAGTATAAGTCTTATGAAGGTGATCTTAATTTTTTAGGAATTGAGTTTCCTGTTGCCCTCAAAGATATTTCAAAATTTGAGTCTCAAAACGTTAATATTTCAGTTAATGTCTATGGTTTGTCGAAAAAGAAAGAAAATTTTAGTGTCTATCCTCTACATCTTACATCACAAAAGAGAATAAATCATATTAATCTTTTACGCATAGAAGATCATTACATTGATGAAAGTCTTAGCGCAGAAGAGGAAGATGATTTACCAATCAGATCTTTTAACTACCACTATGTCTGGATAAAAGATCTATCCAGATTGGTTGGATCACAGCTGTCGAAGAAGAAAAATAAAAAGTTTATTTGTGATCGTTGTCTCCATTATTTTAGAGACAAATTGCAGCTTACAGAACACGAGGAAACATGCAAAAAATTAAATGATACAAGGATCAGATTACCGCAACCAGGTAAAAATACTGTTGAGTTTAAGAATTATCAAAATAAGGAGCGCGTGCCTTTTATCATTTATGCTGATTGTGAGAGTCTTTTGATTCCTGCGGAAGCACCACAAGAAGCATGCAATACTGAGGTTTTGCAAAATCATAAAACGCTCAGTATTGGATATTATTTAAAGTGTGGCTTTGATGACTCATTGTCCACATATAAAGCATCCCCAAAAGATGAAGAAGATCCTGCTAAATGGTTTTCAAAAGAGTTAAAAAATTTAGCAGATAAAGCAGAGCTCATTTTAAAGAATTTTAAACCCATGCAAGCATTAACCTCACAAGAATTAGTTGATTTTAAAAATGCTAATACTTGTCATATTTGTCAAAAAAAAATCGTGCAAGGTGAAGTAAAAGTAAGAGACCACAACCATCTAACAGGGAAGTACCGAGGTGCTGCGCATCAAAATTGCAATGTTAATTACCATGAATCACCGACCATACCTGTTGTTTTTCATAACCTTAGCGGTTATGACGCTCATTTTATTATTAAAGCTATTGCTACTGAGTTTGAAGGTAGAGTTGATCTACTTCCTATAAACAAAGAAAAGTATATCAGCTTTACAAAAAATATTAAAAATAGTTTAATCAAATTTCGATTCATTGATTCCTTTAAATTCATGGCATCATCATTGGACAAGTTAGCGTCCTATCTCAACGAATATAAAATTGTTAATTCGGTTTTTTCCAATTACAGCCACGACAAAATTCAATTGTTAACGCGAAAAGGAGTTTTTCCCTATGAGTACATTGACTCGAGGGAAAAGCTCGATGAAACTCAATTACCGTCAAAAGAAAATTTTTATAGCACTTTGAATGATTCTAATATTTCAGATAATGATTATGTACATGCGCAAAATGTGTGGAGTGAATTCAACTGTCAAAATCTTGGTGATTATGTGTATTTGTACATGCAAACCGATGTATTGTTACTCGCGGATATTTTTGAAAATTTCAGGGATCAGTGTTTACTCGCGTACGGTCTTGATCCTGCGCATTATTGTACAACGCCAGGACTGACATGGGATGCCATGTTAAAGTATACGAATATAAGATTGGAACTCCTCACAGACATCGACATGGTAATGTTTATTGAACGCGGAATAAGAGGTGGTGTAAGTCAATGCACCAATCGATACGCGAAAGCTAATAATCCGTACATGGAGAAATATGATGCAAGTGAGGAGACATCTTATATCGTATACTTTGATGCAAACAACCTATATGGTTGGGCCATGATTCAGTCGCTTCCCTTTGGTGGCTTCGAGTGGGTAGAAAATGTTGACAATAATTTTGATTTTAATGTTGCAGATGATGCACCAATTGGTTACATTTTAGAAGTCGACTTAGATTACCCCGAGGAATTACATGATAAACATAGTGACTTTCCGTTTTGCCCTGAACGCTCGAAGCCACCAGGGTCCAAAGAGGAGAAGCTCCTAACTACCCTTCTACCGAAGAGAAAGCACGTTCTCCATTACCGAGCATTGAAACAAGCTATTACCAATGGCCTTATTTTAATTAAAATTCATCGCGTTTTAAAATTTAATCAATCCACATGGTTAAAAAGCTACATTGATTTCAATACCATGCGAAGAACTAATGCTAACAATGAATTCGAGAAAAACTTATTTAAACTAATGAACAATGCGGTATTCGGAAAAACAATGGAGAACGTGCGAAAACATGTAGACATTAAACTTGTGACAAAGTGGGAGGGTAGATATGGAGCTGAAGCCTTAATCTCAAAACCTAATTTCCATAGCAGGGCCATTTTCAATGAAAATTTGGTTGCTGTGGAACTTAGAAAAGTAGAAGTTCTAATGAACAAGCCACTATATGTTGGCTTAACCGTTTTAGACGTTTCAAAAACTTTAATCTACGATTTTCACTATGATTATATTTTAAAAAAGTATGACAAAACAAACTGTAAGTTATTGTATACCGACACCGACAGTCTGATTTATGAAATTAAATGTTGTGACATCTTCGCAGACATGAAAGCAGATATCCACAAATACGACACTTCCGATTACCCTGTAAATAACGTTTACGGTATTCCGCAAGCCAACAAAAAAATTTTAGGTTTAATGAAAGATGAGTGCAGTGGAAAAATTGTTACTGAATTTGTTGGCTTGCGGAGCAAAATGTACAGTGTGCGAGTGGAAGATCAAGATTTTATTAAAAAAGCAAAAGGTGTGAAATCTGCGGTTGTAAAGAAAACTATTACCTTTGATGACTACACATATTGTTTACGAAATGTTAAAATGCAATCGCGAACTCAATATTGTATCAGATCGAAACTTCACAATGTTCAAACATTAAAACAAACAAAAATAGCTTTAAGTCCTTACGACGATAAAAGATTTCTGTTATCCAATAGTACCGATACCCTTGCATGGGGACATTGTAAAATTACACAAATTAATGATGAAGCTATGGAATTGTAAAT